GGCTCTCCTCCGGGAGCGGCGGGGCTGCCGCGGCTTCGCGCTGTACCTGAGGCGGGCGGGGGGCTGCGCCAGGCTGGGGGGCGACCCCGAGGCGGCCACGGCCGCGAGTTTTCGGGAGTGGGACGGGGACGGTGGTGGCCGTAAGGGTAGTGTCGGATTTTAAGGTTTGGGGTTTGTTTCGCGGCTTTTTGGCGTGTTCGGGCTGCTTGGCTGGGCGCTCGCTGCCGGCGACAGGTCTTGTCCCTTAGAGACCACTCGGTGCGGGGAGAGAGAAACGCCTCCGGAGAGGCTTTCCTTCGCCCCACGCTGGTTTGCACCTGCCCACCTATTCCATCCTCTATGGCTTGCATGTTTCATTCACGTCAACATCAGATAATAAAGTAGGTTGTCCCCTTCAAACATTTCGGAGAGTAGTTGCAGTTTCTGTTACAGTCTCGCTTGTTACCTGATGTCTGCTGTTTTCCCTGCCCCTCTCCCATGCTTCATCCCTTCTGATCATACCAGTCACCAAAAAACCTGCCTTAGGTAGGTGACATAAGGGGAAAGGTCGGTTTTGTGTTCTGAAAGTAAATGGTGTGGGTATTGCTCCTGTACTGTCACTGCAGTTTTCAGGAACTGCGTTTCAGGAAAAAACGAGTTTAAAGACAGCACATTTTCTTGAAGAGTCTGGTGCACCTGTGTCTTGACAAATGCAAGATGGAAAAGACCAAAGTGTAAAGTAGGCCAGTTCAAAACTGATACCGAAACTCATTGCTGGAGGAAATAGGGCAGATAATGGGGGGAAAAAAAAAAAGCCCAAAGCACCGTATAGGTAACAAAAGCATTTGGAGATGTTTTTGTTAGTAAGTCTTAGAAATAGTACATTTTTTGTTCCCATGTTTAAAACATTCTCATAGACGCTGGTCTAAATGTATAGTGCATGCAGGTAGTACAGAAAATATCTCAGCATTCAGGCTGTCTGCTTTCAGAGACAAAAGACTGTCATATTTGTGGTAATATTTATTATTTTATGTTGGCAATAATGTACAAAGAAATGGGTCTTCATGAAGCGATGTCATTCAAAAGCGCTTTGAAGTCCTCGTCATAGTTGTTCTATTAGTGAGGTGACGCTAGACTTTTGGTTTAGTGGGCAGTTTACTGTAGGAACTCAATCTGCAAGAAGATACAACAGGATTTGCACACATTATTGGAAGGGGAAGATGTGCATAGGCTTCTTGCATAGTTATATTCAGTTTTATTTCTCTTAATTATTTTTATCTTCTGCTCTAGACAATGATTGACTTCCAACAAAAAATTTTAAACTCTATCAAGTGTTTCAGAAGACAATGGCCTTTATTTTCAAACTCTGAAAGGACTACTCTATGTGGAGCAGACTGCATGCTGATGGCATTACAACTGTCAATGGCTGAAGTCAATAAACAGGTTAGCACTCTTTCAGTATGTTCTTAGTACACCTCAACCTTGGTTCACTTTCTGGATCTTTTGCTTAGGAGCCTAGTTGAAACAACTATATTGGTCACTTCACTGTTAGTTTTAACTGAGGGTCAGATGCAGCAAGGCACTAAAATTAATATGATTAAGCACACTAAATCAGGGATTTGAAAAAGAGCTGTGAGACAGGTGGGAGAATGGAAGTGTTTTAATTGTATATCTGACTTATACACTTCAATATTAAATATCAGTGTATTTTTCTTAATCATACTTCTGTTTATTTCTATCAAATATTTCTTCTATACTGTAGATCAGGGTGGAGAACTATGGCATTTGGGATGCACTCTTTTTCTGAGTGCTCCGAAAATGCTTTGGAAAGATGTGAGAGGATGGTGAGTATAAAACTGACTTGGCATAGGCTGCACGAGTTGTGCTTGAGCAGTCCATTCTTGGCTGCTGTTTCTCCTGAGGTTCATCAGATGAAGACCTACACCTAGTATCAAATATATGGCCTGCTTTGCATTGTACAAGCAGCATCTGTCAAACAATCAGTAGGAGATGTAACCCTTAAGTGACTCTGTAAGAAGCACTGTGGCTTATCACAGCTGGAAGGCTGGGTATTGGCAATCATCTGAAACAACAAAAACTGCTGCAAGGTACAGTCAGGCCTTTGCATGTGTCTCACCTAATAAGACCAATTGCATAGCCACTTAGATAATCTAAAGATATCTTTTTAGGTCAATAAGCTTAATTATTGATGAAAACAAATTACCATTGATGGAAGACACCCAAATATTGCATAGCAAATTAAACACATAGTATAAATCTTTATTAAAAAAAAACCAAACCAAACCCAAACCAACAAAAACCCACAAACAGAAAATCTGCTTCAGTTTGTGCATTCCTTGTTACAGTGTATCATTTTAAAGATTACCACTTGTACTGGAAAATCTTTTATCTTGGAAAAAAATATTTCTAGAACCACTCTTTAACCTAACTGAATTCACCACCAGAAAAAGCTTTGTAGTATAAAATGTGCAGAATGGGGTTATCTCTTCTCTAAACATTAAATATAAAACCTGACAATTTATCCTCACTGTAACATACGTTACAACAGAAATATCAGAATGCCAAGATTCTACTTTTCTACTTCATAGAATGTAATGTATTTCAGCCAGGATCCCAGTGTCCTCACAATACCTATGTAGGTAAAACTCAAAAATTATTGTGCATCAAAATGGGCTCTCAGAACTGATAGAGGATAGTAATGCAAAACTACCTGTGGAGGCAATCACTGTTTGTTGTGATACTCAAGGGGAGAACTACAAATATTTTTCCAAAGCTAGCTCTGGGAGCTAAAATGTGTTATTCTGTTGGATGCCAAAAATTACAGACACGATAAAGATATGTTTCTGGTTCATTGCTACTTCTTTCCTAACAGCTTACAATAAGCTCTTTCCTTCTCCTAGAGGTAACTTGTTTATTCCACTTTCTCCTTTTTTTCTTCAGCAAAGATTCTTTCCCTCTAAAAGTATATTTTATTTGAAAGGTGATCTAAAGAAAGTTAAAGCAATTATTTTCAACTGATTTAATTTTGAATTACACTGCTTTTGCTTCATATCTCAAGAAAGACCAAGTGCTGAAAACATAATTCGTTTTTTCTGATTATAGTAGTTGATCTAATAAGACAAATTAGCAGCATGTATAAACCTTGTCATGCATATGTGGATTAAAACTGTTTTAGCATTTGTGTGTGCTGCCTCCGGAGTTCAATTTCCTCAGCTGGATATCCATTTTTGTGTTTATAGTGTTAGAGTAAAATATGACTGGTTTACTTTGTTCAGCACTGAAACTTCAAACTAAGATGCAGAGTTTACAGTTGTAGGCATGTTTCTTGTGAGTTCTCTGATTTAAGTACATCAATTTCATATCGTTAACATAACACCTGTAGAAGTCTATAATGATAGTCAGTTACTGCAAGAAAAATAACTCTACTAACAGGTTATTGACTGGCTGGATTGAGAAAAAAAACAAAACAAAACAAAAAAAAAAAAAAAAACAAACCCACAACCAAAAACAAAAAAACCCCAAACCTACCACAAACGACAAAAACCTCTTCTCTTTCTTTAGAAGTCTGGACAATTTTAATGGATTTGGTGGTTTAACTGTTATGTGTATCTGCAGTAGAAATGAAAAATAATGAAGATCTTTGGAGACCTCTAGAAAAGCTTGAGTCTTATAATTTATCAGTCTTAAATTTCACCTAGAATAAGAATAGCAAACAGCGTGATAAACATTGATCAAATAACAGGGATGAAAGGAAAAAAAAAAATCTACACTTTGACTTCCTCTGAAAATACTTTGTGGTGTAGCGCAGTTGTAGCTATATGGCATAAAGACAAGTGGCATATGGTCTGTGGTGAAAGTTAATACCTTTTACCTGGACTGATTAGTATAGATCTAAAATCTAGGTAACCTTTCAAGAAGAACCTTTCTTAAGGTTTGAATTAGAAATAAAAATTGTCAAGTTGAAGTTTAGCCGATGGTAATGGCTTTAAGTTGGCTGTATTTGCACATGTGGATCAGGAGGGGTAGAAGATAGGTTATTAAGACAAATAATTACTTGTAATTTTCAGACCATGACTATTTTAGCTAGTACTGGGAGAAACTGAGACATCATATAAAACAATTTTTTCCTGAGTCTGTGAACTTAAATTCTCAGACTTGTCTTAAATGTCTTCTAAAACTCTCTTCTAGTACTAGGACTGTGAGACTGAAGGAATAAGTACTTCATTGTTGACTTTAGGAATATATTTTCTCCTTAGAAATTTGTTTGTCTCTTTCTGATTCTGGATTAAATCAGTTTTGGTGTGTGGTTTGGTTCTACCATGTGCTTCCATGAGTGCATTTTTGAAATGCTGGGGTTTCAACCCCAAGCCCCAAATTAAGGTTGACATCTGGGTGATTCCCACAGCCCTTCACAAAGGGGGGGTGAGTTTGCCTTTAGGCTTCCCTCCAGGGTGCTCTGGCCTGGCAGGGAGAGCCATTGGGTAAATGAGCCCCAGGTGTCTGCATTAAGTAAACAAGGGTCAGGTGTCCCACTGAGGGATAAAAGCTGGGACCACTTGCAGGCAGGGGCAGTGTCTGTGTGTGAGGTGGATGCACTTTGCAGAGTTCCCTGTTGGGGAAGGACCTTCTGTCTCCCTGGGACTGGGCTCCGGTCAGGTCAGGCTTTTGTAAATGTGGGCTGTGTAGAGATTCAGTATGTGGCTTCCTTGGTCTTATGTGTTTGGTTTGTTGACTTGGTTGTCTCCTGTCCCTTCTATGGGAGACTGCATTTCAACATTTATTCCCCCCATTGTTGGTTGTGTGCTGTTGTTGTTGGGGTCAGTGGGATTGATTTTGTTTATGTATAATCTGAGTTGTTTGTACCCCCAGTGCTCACCCATGTACTGACCCTTTTGTATCAAATACAATTTGGTTATTGGTTTGTCTTTATGCTGGTGTGTCTTTTATGCTAGGCCTAATAATTGACAAAATAATTTTGTATACTATGTGAAGAATATTATGTTTTGTTCATTATCCTGTATTTCTTGAAATGTTTTCCCAAGTTATCTTGTTCCCATGTTGGCAAATAAAGAAAAATACAAAGTTTTTACAGCATTACTCCATTAAATTGTTGTATCTGTCTCCCTTTTGGTAATGAGAGACTCCTACCAACTTTGTAGCAATTATATATGATGTGTTGCTTGTAACATATTGTAATGATGCTTACCAAGAGGCATTATCTTGGCTGTTCTTCAGTATAATTAGTTTTTCACATAATCACAGAATGGTTGAAGTTGGAAGGGACCTCTGAAGTTCATCTCGTCCAATCCCTCTCCTCAAGCAGGGCCACTATGTCCAGATAGCTTTGAAATGTTGCCAAGTATGGAGACTCCATAAACTCTCTGAACAGCCTGTGCCATTGCTCAATCACCCTCACAGTAAAAAAAGTTTTCTGATGTTCAGAGGGAACCTACTGTGTTTCTTTTGGGTAGTGCCCGTTGCATCTGGTCCTGCCATCGGAAACCTTAAAAACTCTTGCTACATTGATCTTGAGGCGTCTTTCCTAGTCTCAACTAATTACCCATGCAAGGTATACTGGCTTTTCTTTAAGCTTGGGATATTGGCCTGTAACTGGCTTTGCTTCTGGCAGATTGCAATATAACAACCAGCAGACGCTTATGTCTATACACTTGTGCTTATATGAACCAGTTTCTAAATCTGTGCATGGCACTATCAACGTTCACTGGAATGGGAAACATTTAAAATGCTACTTTATATTACTAAAATGTGTTTTACATACCACAGTTTTGGAACTTTTCTCTTGTATGAGAACACATGCAAGCAACACAGTCTGAGTAAGACCACAGGTGACAAGACTGCAGAATCATACAACTCTAAGGCAATGCCACAGATAACATTACTGTGGTCTAGGAGTATGCCTGAAAATAATAGAACTACAGGCAACACCTGAGTGGTGGTTAAGCCGAGCAGTCTTGAACACACATATTCCAAAAATGGTTAGTGGTCATTTATTTGGGAAAGGCAGGTGAGAACTGGTATTTCTGAAATACGTATCACTTCTTTAAAACAATTTTTTTGTCAAAATAGAAGCTGCTTTGCCATGTAGTTAGCCCTAGAAAGCTTGCAATACATACAAAATACTAAAAAATGGTGTCTTCAGACATGAAATGTTGCTACTGGATTTCAGATATTCTAAAATAAGAGTCCAAGGAAGTTTAACATACTGCTCTGCTAAGAAGTGAAGAAGCTTTATGATACTTCATTATTTCTGTGCCTGTGAAACACAATACTTGCAATGTCTAACATGGAATGAAAGAACTTCTTTAAGGTATTAGCCAGTTATGCTTACTTCAAAACACCACATTATTTTTAAAATTAATTTTAAATCCAGAGACTCTTGACAAATTGACTGTACAAGTAATAGAATACACCATCACAGTGAGCATCTGATCATGAAGGCTAATATCTGAGGTGCAATTTTATTTGGATTTAAAATATTATTCAGCACTGATATAAACTTTATAATCTCCACAGGTCCTTAGTTTGGTGGGGAAAGGTTTTGATTTATTAGATACCGTATTGAAATGGTACTATCACTTGTTACTCCTGGAGGATTTTGTTTCAAAACAAAGTGAGAAACTAACATTTTTATTCTCCAACCTACTGCTGTTTTGATCATTTAAACTGGGTTATAATATAGTTACATTTAATTTTTTGAGGAGCTTAAATGGAAAACAAGTGCTTTTCAGAAAACATATATGCCATTTTAATATTCTGGTAATCTGTGGAATAGCATGCAAGTTCATAGTGCTGAATTATCATAACCCATGCACAAATGAGAAGGCAAAAAAGCACTTAAAGTAATATACATAAGTACTCTCTCATTTTCACATCTAGTTCTTTGTCTAGGCAATATCAAAGTTGTTGACTTTCAGGACTTTGGAATCGTATATTTAACCCAATCTATCCAGAAAGATGTGCTAAGTATGCTAGAACCTAAGGAGGGGTCTTTTGGTCTGGAACAACTTAAATTATTAAAATTGATCCTGGTTTTGTATTTAGTTTTGTATTCAATTGCTAATGGTGTTTGTAGGTAATTATTTTATCTGGATTAAAGTTGCTGAATGTGAAAACATCATGAAATAAAATAACCTTTGCACTAGACAGAAGTTATCTGCTGTTACTGACATAGCAAAGCAAGGCTTGTCACTCAGTCACAGGGCATTTATATCATGTTACATAGTGAAGTACATGACTGTATAATATTGCACTTTTTTTGCTGCCATATACTGTGGAATGCTTTAGATACTGGTAGTATGAACTATGTTTCTTTGGTGAAAGCTGGAAAATTTGCTATGATTTTCACCTGTTTGGCTATTTTACTTGTTGCATGTATTCTGAGGTCTAACTCAAATAGAAGGACCTCAGCTGAAAAAGTTTAACATCATGAAATGGGGACTGGTATGTAGATCAAAGAGGAGGCTAAATGAGGAGTCTAGGTGTGAAAGAGGAGGGGATAAGAGCAAATAGTAAGGAAGTCACAGATTTCAGGAAAAGGGGAAGTGGTGGTGAGGAAGTTGGCACTGGGAGGGTCTGCAATAGGCATGGCTAGGAGATAACAGACATTGTGATGGACATTGGATAAAACACCAAAATATGGAAGTAAGGTGAAACCTGGCACAGAATATAATGAAGTATGGGTGTGTAGGAAGATTAGCAACTCCTAACTAGAATTTGGGAAGGCAGAGGACAGTACAGGAGTTAAAGTCCAGGGTCAGTGGTCAAGAGATGAAAACCAGGTTAACAATTAGTGAATAAAGGACCATATTCTAAATTACAGAGGCCTGTAATCCTGCATCCCAAACCCTGTTTTGCCTCCTTTACCTTTAGCTCAGCCTAATTAGTATCATAATTCTTTGCTACTATGTATTTTCACTTATATAAGTAGCATCTTATTGCAATTCTTTCTTTGTGTTATAGCTTGGTTTACAGGGATTGAAAATGATTTTCTGGTTTCCTCAGTGTTGGGAGTCCTTAACCACTGACAATACACTCATCTCCTTTATTGGAAGGTACAAGAGACAGGCTCAGATTTCTTGCAGTTCCTTGTAACCCCACACTGAAGTGGAAAACTTAATTAAAATGTCTGATGCTCAGTGAGCTGATTCCCCTCCCCCCGCCAACTGTGAATCACTTGGTTTAAAATACAGTTCTTTATTGCAAGTGACAATGCCAGGGATTAAACAAATAGGATTGTGTATTGTACCTAGTTATTTCTTTCTTGGAGTGCAGCTCTCTCCTCTAGTGTCTCACCGATACAGCCGGATGGTAGCTGGCTTGCATCCCACTTCCTTCAGTAATGCATTATTCAGTTTGTGACTCAGACAACAGGGCTTTGTCACTTACTTGGATTGTTTTTAAATTTCTGTGAATTCCGGCTCCACTATCTGTTCCTATCTGCTGTGACACTTTCAACTTTTTGTTTTCCATTTGTGCCCTAGTGCCATACTTGGGACCTTCAACTGTGCCAGGTTTGCTAACGACTTTGGTTCTTTAGGTATTTCTGCTTCATAAATGTGATTACATGTAGCATTGTGCACTACATACAGTCTCTCTCATTCTTAGTCTCTTCTATTCTTCCATGTAAAAATAACTTTTTAAGAAAAGTTCATTCCCTTTTTCATTTTAGTCTAGAACTGCACAATAAAATTGCAAGCTTATTGCTTTACAATTAAGTGTTCACTCTTCTAAAAAGACATGTTACTTAATATACCCCTACATATAACTGTAGTAATAGCAGATTTCCCCACTTTCCTGTAAATCCTTTGAAAGAAATATAATAAACTAATGTGTAAATTAAACATGATTTTAGTAATTCCTGTTGATACATTTTCTGCTTCTGCCCACCAAAGGTCAACAGAGCACTGCTCTCAAGAGTTGGAAAGAAGAAAGTGACTTCTAACTGATACAAACCTCTTAACTTGCTTTGTGATAAATCTGAATTTTCATTTTTGCCTAGATTAGGAAGAGGTTCTTCAGTTGCTAATAAAATACTGTTAGTTATTTTGCTACTCATGTATTTGTTGTCTTTTACCCACTTGATCTGCTCTTTTAAATTAACTCTCTGTTAATATCTATTCATTCTGCTAATTTTCTGATAAAATGTAATTCTTTTTTCCTTTTTGGAGGTTGAGGAGAAGGCAAAGGGGCACATGGAATGTAATAAATTTGACAGGGAGAGTGGGCTGGAAGCTGGATATAAGATTGTAGTCTATACGGTATAGTTAGTGTTAGTTATGGTACTAGTAATGGATATATTTGCATTGCTTTAATGGAATTAAATTTGTTAGCTCTATCTAGCAACACTGTGAAAGTTATGCTAAATTACAACTGTACTAACACAGGAAAAAAGTGCGCTTTTTTGCCATGCTGAAAATTATTTCTGCAAATAAATAACTTTATGTAAGCCATAGTCTTGCAAAAACCAGTATGTGTTTTCTTATGAGTAAAGTTCAATATATATACACTTGGTATTTTAAAGAACAGGAACGAATACTGTATATAAAACTCAACTGTAAAAAGAAAAGCACCACAACAACTGCAACTGTAAGTAAGACTTTGTTTATTATAAACTTAAATATTTAGATCATAATAGCTTTTTTTTAAAAATACATATATATGCAGCTTGTTTGAAAGTTATTTTTAAAGCTATGTATGCTGAATACAAAACAATATTTTTGCTTTTCTCTGTTTTATTAGCACCATGGAGATTTCACAGTATCACTTAGTGATGTGTTGGAAACTTGGAAATATTTGTTACATGACAAACTGGGATTATCGTATGAAAACATGAAAGAACCTGCAAATTATGCTGACCTAAAAAAAGCCTATCATGCCTTCTTAGCAAGAAGCAATATGTTAGATCTAATAGACATATGTCAGAAATGCTATGGTCTTGGACTTGTATCTGACGATGAGAACATAGCCCCAGTAAGTATTTTGTTTGATCTCTGATACTATTTTCACATATTTTTTATTCCAGTTGTGGATTTATGACGCTTCTAAATATACACAGGAGCTCTGAATTATTCACAAGCTACTTTGATTCTCTATTGGGGAAGCAGATGAGTTTAAATTACTAAATCTTTTAAACAGATCTTGAATTCACTCAAAAATTCTTTTTCCGTTGTCCTGCTGAATGAGTGGGTCCCACAGCTCTTCTATCAGTCTGCCAGAAATGGAACTGAAAAATGAACTGCAGAGATTTGATAAAACTGAAACAAAGCTTAGTGATTAACATGAGTCATGGAGTTTTGGTTGTATGTAGGTATGCAGTCAAAATACTTTTAAAGGTTATAATTTTAAAAATACCATCCTTCTAAAAGCAAAAACTTCCCTATGCTACATGTAGTTCGGTGTTAGATTTTTCCAAAAACCAGAAGAGGTTCCACTTCAGCCATTCAACAGCTCTGTTGAAGTTTACTGCAGCTCAGATGTTCTTATGACACAGGATGCAAAGCACTGCTCTAGGCTAGATAAGTTCTAGTGTGTATTGCACTCTTAATCTCTATTAATCTTTATCCAATAACAGGATAAAAATATATGTAAGTAGCAATTAAGATAAGTATGAAACATAAGTATTCCACACGATTTTATTTGATTCTGTGCTCTCTAGAGCATGGAAATATCAAGACAAAGGATTTTGAAACTGAAAAAAGTAATGAAAGTTGGATTTAGATGCACATACTTCTAGCTTGTAATGAAAATTAGAAAGGAGTTAATTGTCTGCTTTTACTGCCCACTCTCAGCGTTCCAGACTTTTAAACAAACTACTGTTTTTTTCATCTTATGAATTTGATGTATGTTTAATTAGTTGGTCATTTTAATATGAGGGAAGCTATATCAGTAACTGAATGTTAACTGAAGTATATTATGAACATACCATGAATTACTAGTTACAGCATGATTAAAACTGTTTACCTTCCAACCCTAGTAACAACAAAAAGCTTTCTCTGTGAAAAAGTGCTCAAATACTGGAACAGGTTGCCCAGAGAGGATGTGGAGTCTCATATTTGGAGATACTAAAAACTTGGCTCAGCATGTCACTGAGCAACCTGGTCAAACTGGTCCTGCTTTAACCATGGGTTTGTACTAGATGATCCATATAGGTCTCTTTTAACCCAAATTATTGTATGATTCTGTGACAGATATGCTTGTAACCATCTTGCCTACTTCCTTAAAGGTTCAGAGACCCTACATTCAAACACTCGTGTGATTACTAGGCACAAGAGATTATAAGGAGAACTGAAGTTCAGAAAGGGCATGGAAACTGCGATTTTTAAAAGTTTTTGTTTCTTATTGTTTTCATGAGGAAGATCGAGAACTTGGGTGGGTTAATAGGCTCTTCCTAAACATGGTATAACATATTAAATATATGTTTATATTTATAAAATCATATCAATACAATATATAAATATATGTTTATAAATATCTCCAAAACATAAGAGGCTGCTTTTAGTGCAAGTGAAACACATAGCTTTTGGAGATATCTTTTCTAATTTAATTTGGATTTTACACCTCATTTCTCTACTAAAACAGTTGTACTTTTATATACTGAAACCAAAAGCAGGTTGTAAGAGCTGAGTTAACCTCAAAACACTAGCAAACTGGCAGAGACATAGTTTCAACAGGTTTTAATACTACTTTTGCTTTCCAGTCATCTTTATATTCTAATATTTTTTTCTAATCTTTTTATTAAAGGTACAACTGTTGGAATTCATTTCTGGCATAGTAAATGTACAAGAAAATAATGGTTCTGTTCTTTCTACTCCTTCTACACAAGTCAACAGACAGGGCCAGGAGAATATGAAGGTAAAAGTTTTTTCTCTCTTTTCTGATGTTCTGTATATATTGGAAAGATGAAATATGACATAGTTTCCGTTTCCAGTTATTGGAATTAAAATGTTACTGGTTTAAAAAAACAGGATGTGTATTCAAATTCTGTATCACTTGAGTATATTGTAGGGGTGTGTGTGTGATGTTAAGTGCAGAAATTTATATTCTGGAAGACAGTGCTTTTATGTCAGGCACTTGATATAGACTTAATCGGCCTTGAAACACTAGGGAATAAATTTTTCTACAAGTACACTGTCACTCAAACATTGTCTTGACTAAGAGTTAAATGATTTTCCCAGTGCTGCAAAGTGAAATGGTAGATGAAGTAAACTTTGATTTCATTTTGTTAGCTTGTACTACCTTACATACGGAAGAAATCTGAATAGCCACCATAGTAGTAGCTGTAGCAAAACAAACAAGGTTTGTCTGTCCCAGTTGAGGACTTGAGGACTTTCTGAGAATACTGGATTCTTTCATTTTACCCTTTCAACCCCCAAACCAGGAATCTCAGAATACTCTGTAACAATGGTTGAAATGCTGGACCCTTTGCAATTTCCAGATTTGCTTTTCTTATAAGTGGCAATTTGAATTCAATATTTGGGTACAACTCAAAATATTTCTGAACAAGAAAATATTTTCTCAACTAAGGTTCTCCCATAGATAACACTTCTGCCACTAACATAATGGTCTTCTTGCTGCTCTGATAGTAAAAAAATTACTTGCTCTTTTTTTCCTCCTCTTAAATCTGTATTTTCACATACATGTTTGTTTTCTTACTGCCTACATTTTTGTCCTATGCATCCTGTTGAATAAGAAGAAATTCCATAGGAAGTATAGGTTTACTCTTTACCATTCCTTTTGTTAATGGCCTTTTTTTGGTCTTTGCTCGTGACAAAACTGTAAATTCTTCAGTTCTCAGACTGTAGTTTGTACAGGGTTCAGAATACTGTAATATAAGCAATTACAATGTTATGTTTTGGTTGTGTGGGTGGAGATGGGTCACAATTTATGTCCAAGCTCAATCAGTGGAGTTTCTGTGATTGAAATCCCCTGGGAACCAAGGGAAAAATTACTGAAACTGACACAGAGCTGGCGAGTTGCTTACCTATTTGAAGTTAATGACAAACCCTTATGTGGTTTTGTAGTGCTGGTATTTTGCTTTGAGATAGAAAAGGAATATCTGTGAAGAGGCTTTGAAGTAGAAAACGATAGCCAATTTTAGTAGCTTGAGATCTAGCCCTCAAATATTTTGTGAATAATAAAGTACTGTAGGTGTAATTTTAACATGTTAATGGTGCTTCCTTTTGTGAATACTTCTAGAATCCCCATACATAAAGTAGCATTTTGAAATTATGCAAGGTGAAATTCTTACTTTTCAAAAATCACATCAGTACATATCTAATTAGCGCTTTTTTTTAAAAAAAAAAGAAACCTAATTTAGCAGTGAGATAACCAATTTGTCTGATGCTTTTTTATATAGGTGACAATCCTGGCGAAGAAGTGTGTGTGTTCATATTTAAGGCTGTTGGTGAATTCTAAGGATGATCTGGCACTGGCTCATATTCTAAATGTTCCTGACAGAGGACTTGGTAGAGAAGCCTTCACTAACCTAAAACATGCTTCACAGAAGGGAGGAATGTCCATTTTCCTGGTATGTGTGTCAAATGAAACTTGCTGTAGTTCAGAGACAATGAAATAGATCTATAAGCAGAAAATGTTGCTTTAATTTCATATGCAGGACTGATATTTTCAAACCAACTCAAATACCACCATAAACATGGTTTCTAGATTAAGGACACAACAGAGATTTTATGTGAAGAAATGGGTACCTAGCTTGGTCATGGGATCTAAAGATGGGCAGAAAAATAATTGTCTGCATGTATACCTCTAGAGCTCTAAAATGTGATAATGTAAAAGCAGGCATTGAGACTGTTCATCCCAAACAGTGACTGAAATCCTGAAAGTTTACTATCTTAAATGAGAATATAAGATAGGATTTTTATTATTGCTTTTAAAATTTTGAAATCTTGGTAAATAGTGTGAAGTGAGATCATGAGTATGCTTGTTAAAGAAAAAAGACAAAGAAATAAAATATGACATTAGGCTAGATGTTGTTGCTTACTAAATACCTCTAAAAGCAATTGTGATGGGTTGACCCTGGCTGGATGCCAGATGCCCACCAAAGCTGCTCTGTCACTCTCTCCTCCCTGGATGGGCGAGGGAAAATATAAGGAAAGCCCGTGGGTCAAGATAAGGACAGGGAGGATATTCAGCAATTATTGTCATGGGCCAAACAGACTCAACTTGGGGAAATTAGTTTAATTTATTACCAATCAAATCATAGTAGAGTAATGAGTAGTAAACCCCAAAGCTTAAAACACCTTCCACCCACCCCTTCCTTCTTCCCAGGCTTAACTTTAGAGACCTGATTTTCTCCACCTCCTACCCCTAGCAGTGCAGGGAGATGGGGAATGGGGGTCATGATCAGTTCATCACACATTGTATCTGCTTCTCCTTCCTCCTGAGAGGAAGGACTCCTCACACTCTTCCCCTGCTCCAGTGTGGGGTCCTTCCCACGGGAGACAGTTCTCACTAAAATTCTCCAGTGAGTCCTTCCCACGGGCTGCAGCTCTTCATGAACTCCTCCATTGTGGGTCCCTTCCACAGGGTCACAAGTCCCACCAGCAAACCTGCTCCAGCATGGGCTCTTCTCTCCATGGGGCCACGGGTCCCGCCAGGAGCCTGCTCCAGCACGGGCTTCCCACAGGGTCACGGCCTCCTTCGGGCATCCACCTTGTGTGGGGTTCCCCACGGGCTGCAGGTGGGCATCTGCTCCACCGTTCACCTCCATGGGTGCAGGGCACAGCTGCCTTACCATGATCTGTACCACAGGCTGCAAGGGAATCTCTACTCCAGCACCTGGACCGCCTTCTCCCCCTCCTTCTTCACTGACCTGGGTGTCTGTGGAGTTGTTTCTCTCACTACTCTCTTCTCTGGCTGCTGTTGTGAAATTTCCTCCCCACTCCCCACCCCCTTCTTAAGTATATTATCACAGAGGCACTACCACCACTGCTGATGGGCTCGGCCTTGGCCAGTGGTGGGTCCACCTTGGAGCCACCCCTGTAGCCCCCTGGCTACCAAAACCTTGCCACACACACCCAATACAGCAATGAGCTTGGTTAAATAAATACCACAAAGCTGTATCAACATTAACAAAACTAAGCCTCTAACAATGCATCACAATACATTTCAGTTGTAAAGTGCTGTAAGTATTCTGGTTTAATAGCAAAACAGCATTTCTCTGTGCATTTGTTAAACTTGAGACATCTGGAACCTAAAGTAGTTCTGTGTACAGATTGATTTTCTTACAGCAGAGGCCAAAATTTGAAAGGCCAGGTTTTTCAGCTTTGACTCAGAATTTGGGGAGGGCTACGCTTTCCAGTTATTTGCAGCTTGATCAGTCTTGAAATACTCTCCAAGATATGATTGGTATGGGACGTTCCTGCTCATTTTATTCTCAAAGGCATACAGGTAGAAAAAAAACCCTCTAGACAGTGGTATACTCTTTCCTCAATGCTCTTGTATAGGAATATAAAAATCTACAGCATCAATGTGCAGTACTCACAAAGGTTTGTTGCTAGAGAATTTAGTTTGGTGTGTGAGGTGCATTTATACTTAGTTATAGTCAGCACAGAGCCATCTCCAAAATAGTTGGAATAAGATGAGTAAGAATTCTTTCTCCAAAGAACCACTGTAGTCCCTCATATTCAAAATAATCAAATTTTGCATGCACAGTGGTCTCAGTGCAGGCAACAGCAGACCAAAAAACCCCAGTATGGGTATGTAACAGTCAGTGAAGCAGCTGTATTCTCAGATTTTTATGGTTGAATAAATATGGAAAATTTGTGAAATCTCACTTCCAGGATTAATTATTTTAGCTTCTAATGCTCTGTTACCTTTGTATAAAAAAAGTATGTGTTTGGACTGGATTTATTACCTCTTCCTCACAGTTGCCAGAGGGGAAACTTCTCTACCGTGTAAAGAAGTCTTCTTTTCTGGCATCTGTGTCTTGTAGAAATCTTGCAAAGCCAGAATATTTTCCATTGGGAAGGCAAGGTCCTATGAACTGTACTTGATCCACAGGAAATCTTTAGCACAGAGGCAGGAATACTGGCAGGTTTACTTTCTTTTTGCTAGAGTAATTCCAGTTGTATTCTTTCCAGTCCTAAGAGCTTTGTTGATTTAACTGTATCGTCTGAAATTAAAATTTATATGTAGAATTAATATTACTGCATCTCTGTCAAGCATATTGTTCTCTTTACTTTCAGCTTTCTGGAGAACTGCTAAGCATTTTATTCTGAGTGTTGCCTTAAAATTTGAAGGGTTGTCCTCTAAGGCCTACTGCTTTCAGGACAACTCTTGTTTTCAATGTCTTTACAACATATAAAAATATGTGGAAACTTTCTGAATTGGGTACCTGTGATGATAAAGGCCTTAACTGTCATAATTTTTCAGAAGCTTTGAGTATACATTGGTTTTATTTCACCTCTGAAAATAAATATACTACTTAAATCAACTTTTACATGCTTATGTTAAAATTGTTCTTGGGTCATAGGCATCCCTCAATATGTAGTTTTTGTGAGGTCAGCACAAGCATTTAAACAAAAGCAACAACAACAAAAAACTGTAGCCTGTGTTAATAAAGATTATCCTAAGCTGTGAAAAGGCCAATGTGAATATTAAATTAGCTGGGTCATTTTCACTTTGGCTTGTTTTTTTGTGTGGTGGGTTTTTTTGTGTGTGTGTGTTTTTGGTTTTTTTTTTGTTTTTTTATAGTGCTGCACTATTTATCTTGCAAATATTTATGCTGAGATGTACAAAGCTTGCCATTAAGACGTATTCTATTGATTTCAGATAAACTATTTCTGCTATCAACCAGCTGTTATACACTGTTTACAAATCTATAGGAGAGGCTCACTTCAACATGTGTACATTTTGCATATACCTACAGTTTCATATTTCTGACTGTTTCTCCTAATAGATGGCAACATCTTTTATCCGAACTGTAGAACTTGGAGGAAGAGGCTGTGCATCTTCATTACTTGATCCTTTAAGAATCCATGTAAAGGGGCTTTCAGACTTTGTTAATTTTATTGACAAGCTGCAAGAAATTGTTGGTGAAATCTTGAATCCAAGGTAATAAAATTTCTGTTACATTTTTGTCTTGTTGAGCACCTGTTTTTTTGTGCATCGAGGAGGGGGAACAAAAGAAAATCTAATAATTTACTTATTCAGAATAAATTTTTACAACAAAGATTTTTGAGGTTATTCTTTGTATTAAATTTCTATCAAATCAATGTAAGCATGGCTATTTAGTTAATTCCCTAGTTGTAAATGAACTTCCAAAGATTTCAGTCTTGCAGGTCTGGTAAGCCTATAAACTGTTATGTGCTTTACTTATAATTACTTCTTCTTTGTCATTTCATTGTATATACCCTTATATAAAGGAGTCTTTATTGCTGCTGCCAAATTGTGCCATTGGTTATTTAGCCTTTCCCTTCTCTTCTTTTTAACTACATAAGCAAAGCATAAGAATTATTTCTTAGGAAGGTGCTGGTGAAGTCACTGATTTTGGATGTTTTTTAAGACCTGAAGTTAGACTTTGGGCAGGCTTACAAATGTGAGATTAATTAGAGAGAAGTGTAAGTGTAACACAGGAATCTGAATTGGTAAATGCTGGTATTGTTACAGAGAGAAGAGCAATTTTCTAAAGCATTATAGACATTAGTAATTTTTTTTTTTTTATTTATAATCAGATATTTTTCTGTAGAAAACTTTAGCAAATCAGCTGTAATAGTTCTGTCCTTTTTTTAGTTTGAATTGAGTCTAATCCACACAACCGAAAACAAAATGTTGTAAGCAGACCATAATAAGCATTATTTAAATTACTGTTCATAATGCATTGAAGCTGGAAGTGGCAAGTATTTCTGTTGTTTTGTGGTTTTTGTTTTACTTTTTAATTCTACTTCTTTGTTCTTTCATTTCAACATCCTGGATGCCAGAGACATGCTGTCTGTGCTGGTGATTAAAGAAAACTTTTGACTCAACATCTAATATATGATTTTTTTCTTTATTTAAATCATATCTGGCACTGTACATTGATAAAAAGGATAAATGGAAAAACATTTATGTGCATGACCTTACTTTTTATGGTGGAAAGACCACTTTTTCAGGTATATACAGTTCAGCAAAGTGTAAGATAAGATACTACATCTTGTTACTTACCTTTCTGTTTAAGGCATGTGAGAAAAATCAGAGTGGGATAGCTGCTAAGAATTATCAGTTTTTAATTGGGAGAATTCTCTAGTTTGGAAATTCTTTTTAGCATTCAGCTATTTATTCTGTTGCTTTCTCTGCTGTACCTGCTGTGCCATTTATTTGTGGATATAAATCTCATTAACATCAGATTGTGATGTGTTCATTAGGTTTCACGTATGCACGTGGTTGTCATTGGTTGTATCACTGACCAGGAATGGAAGTTAGCTGTGGTGGTTTTAGTATCTTTTGTACCCTGTATGGGCATTATAACCTCACAATGCAAAATACTACTATTGTTTTTATACATGTGTCTATATAGTAGCTCAGTGCTTATAGAAACATACCAATAAGCTGGCTGTCTTTGAAAGAATCTTCATTAGTATGCTGAAGTTCTCAAATGTTATAGGACTAGTATACAGCTTAGAAATTGTGTCGCAACATCGGTGAACAAAAAGATATTTTTCTGAAGTGTTTGGTAAGCCATATGAGTGAGGACTGTCTGTGTGCCCTACCTGTGATGTGACAGTTGTTATGAATTCCAGAAGATGCAGTTTTACACAAGAAATTTATCTAGTTCTGTTACTACTGCTATCTAAAGAGCAGAGGAAAAAAGTAACAATGCAGCAAAAGTTTAAGTTGCTTAGTCTTTAGAAGACTGCTGAGAAATCTAAGAGCAAACTGGACAACCTATCTGCAGTATTGCTCTTTCTCTGATGTAGAGATTAGCCAAGCTGCACAAAACAGGTCTCAGTATTTGCTATGCCATAAGAAAAATGTGGTATTTTTGATTGTTTACTTAATAATTAGAAATCTGTTATTTCAGTTTCATCTTGTTACAGTGGAGATTTTATGGAACTTGAACTTGCATAAAATACAAAGTAATCAAATAACTGCTGGGTCGTTGTGGAACACAGGTTGAAAAGAGGCTTTCTTCATCTGTCTGAGTCAAATTGAAGATGCTGGACAGTGAGGGGGATGTGCTTAAGAATATTTTGAACATAGTAGGAGATATGGTGCAACCAAGTATCTGCTAACCTATGGAGAATAACAAAAATGCGTTTCTCATCCCCAAGTCGTTTGGCTAAGAAAGAGAACAGTAGATGAGATGAGGGAAGGAAAAGCTGTTGAAGAGAGTGGAAATTTAGTGAAACTATGATGATTTGCTTCAAATATGGCACAAAGTGTAAGCAGACCTGATAGCAGGAGAAATGGAAGGATATAATGAACTTTATTAGTTTCAAGGTGTATTCACTAAGCAGAACAAACATTCTTACAAATCTCTGGAATTTTGAAATTGTGCAACTTTGCCTCTCATTGTCCAGATGTCTAAGATTGGAAGAAATCACTAATCTTTCAAGAATCAGCAACATAAATATTCCTTAAAATTTGGGGATGCTGTAAAACTTGTAACCCTAAAACTATTTACAGATGCTGTACATATAAGACTTGGACAATGTTTATGCAGTGAAATAACATGGGTGTTCTACTTCTTGTATCCATTTCTTGACCAGAAACATCAATTTTATTTCTCAGTGAAGTGGATGATTATTATACACCCGAGGATCTGGAAACTCTTTCCTGTTGGTATAAATGAAAAAGTTGAATACTCCTCCATCATTCTGGAAATCCTTCTCTTTCAGACCAGATGATAATGCTTCTTGCATCAGGAAAGAACGTATTCTATTTCTGAAACGGCTTTTTTCAAGTTACTAAAAGTTGTGTGTGACTTAAAACACACATGGAAAGGCATTTGTCTTATTGGTTAATGCACTTGTTGGTTCGTATAGATATGTGTATGTGTATATATACATACATAAATATATTTTAAAAGTCTCCACTGATTTTATAGATTAGCAAAATTGGTAGATGGCCAGTGAATTTTCATCTTGAATTGGGCCCTGACTTTGCTGTAAGCACTGACCACTAGGTGACACTATTGCACAGCTCACTTCAGTAGCTGTTTAAATTTAAAGTTAGCTGTATTGTTTCATTCAACGCATTTGAGCGAGTGTGATGCTTTGGAGTGGGTCTTCATTTCAGGTCCGCGAGCAGTCTTCTGCAGTCAGTTGTAGAAGTTATACAGCTTGTCTTGATCCTGCACATGGATTAGCGCACTGAACTTTCCCTTGATGGAGAAAATGCTTGATTCTTCTGTGTTGCGTTTGTGAGGCTGTGATTGCATCTGGAGATGCAGTAGTATTTTGGGAGAGAAAACATGTAAGACTTTATTTGGTCTTGTGCTGAATGTCTGAGTCAATTGGATAGCATTCACATAGCACTGGACTTTAGTATTCTAAAGTTACTGGAAACCTGTGCAGGCAAAGGCAAAACATTGTTTGTAGGACTCCTTAAACTTAGGATCACCAAATAATTCAGGTAGGAAGGAACATCAGGCAGTTTTTGGTCCAACATCCTGCTCAAAGCAAGGTCATTTGTAGGGTCAGCTTAGGTTAATCAGGGCTTTATCTAGTCAAGCTTTCAGCAGTCTCCATCCTTGGAGGTTTTCAGTCTCTTTCTTGGCAACCTGTTCCACTGCTTGAGTGTCCTCATGGTGAAAAGGTTTTTTTCCTTATATTGAGTTGGGACCTCTCTTGTTTTACTTTATGCCTGCTGTCTATTTTTCTTCCACTAGCTGCCAACATGAGGAACCTGACTCCCACGCTCTTGATTACCTTCTTGTAGGTATTGGAAAGCTGTTAGTAGATCTCCCTGAAGCCTTCTCCAGACTGAACAGGCTGTTCCCTTAGCTGTCTCTCACAGGACATGTCTCCCTGACTGTCTTGGCAGCCCTCTGCTGAACTTGCTCCAGCTTATCAGTGTCTTTCCTGGACTGGGGGGCCCAAAACTGGATGCACTGTTCTAAATTTGGTCCAACAAGTGCTGATTAGAGAGGGATAATTACATTCCTCAGACTACTGGCTACGCTACTGTTGATACAGCCAAAGATACTGCTGGCCTTCTTTGCTGCCAAGGCACACTCCTGGCTCATGGTTAGCTTGCTGAACATGTACCAAGACTCCCAGGTTCTTTTACATAGTGCTGCTCCCCAGCCTGTATCATTGCGAGGGGTTATCCCTTTCCAAGGCTTTGCGTGTCCTGTTGAATTTCATATGGTTCCTGTCAGCCCATTCCTCCCATCTGATTAGGTATCTCTGCCCTCAAGCATATTGACCGTTCCATCCAATTTGTTGTCATTTGCAAACTTGATGAGCATGTAATTTTATCACCAAGTCACTGCCAAAGATATTGAAAATAAAAAAAACAGGTTTTAGGATAGGCCCCATTTGTTACTGGCTTCCAGACAGAGTACAGCATGTTTACTACCTTCTGAGTCTGAACATTCATCCAGTTTTCAACTGTAGGTTGCCCATCCAGACTGTAACATTCAAACTTGTATGTTGAGAGTATTTTCTGACAGTGTTGTAAATCTTGCTACAGTCAAGGTAAATGGCATCCACTCTTCTCCCCTGGTCTGCGAAGCCAGTCATAGTATTATAGGAAGCAGATTGGTCAGGCATAATTTACACTTGATAAATCCATGCTTACAGTTACCAGCCACCACTTAATCCTTCACATGACCAGAAATATTTTCTCAGAGGAATTTTTACTTTTTTTTCTCAGGGAACAAAGTGAGGCTGGTGAACCTGTGGTTCCCCAAACTGTCCTTTTGGTCCTTTTTGCAAACATTCTCTTTTCTCCATTTGTCAGGGACCTCCTATGATCACCAGGACTTTTCAAGTGTGGTATAGCATTGACCTTACAAGGACATAAGCCAGTTCTATTGGATGCAGCCCATTTGATTCTGTGGATTTGTATGGGCTCAGTTCTGGCAAGTAAATCTTGACTTGATTCTTAGCCACTGCTGGCAGTTCTCCTCT